TCCTATTTTCTACTGTTTTCAGTATTATTAAAGCTTTCTCTTAGGAACAGGTAAGAAAGGTAAAGCTTGTTTTCCCAGAAACTTGGCATATTCTGTGCTGCTTCCCAGGGAATGAGGTGGTTGAGTTCAGGTATACTTGCAAGAAGCTGACAGCAGTGACAGGATTAACACATTGAGTATCTTCTAACTCCTTTCTTGACATTAGATTTCCTGCCACAAAATGGGCTAATCTGAGTGGTTTATAGGTCATCAAAAAATAGCTGTGGTCACTACCACTTCTCGTTGCACCACGTTTCATTAACTTTTACAGGCAGGTTTGAAGAACTACAAATACTTTGAATTTCAGAAATATATGAAAACCTGGGCTTATGTGCAGCTTTAAAGGCTTCTGGCCACATTTTCAAAGGGTTCTTTAATAATGTTGAAAATTGTGCAAGAGAAAACACACACTTGTAAGTCTGATTACCTATTTTGTGAGTTGATTACCTTTTCCATGTGATTGCCTGTTTTTGGCTAATTTGGCAAACCTTGTGTTGACAAATTCCAACTGACTTCACTGATGATTTAGTCTTCATGAGGGCTGCAATTTAGCTCCTTTGAACATGAAAGCACCTCTCTGTGAATCCCTGCACCTTCACACACACAGAGCAAATAAATACTGGTGAAATTTATGGGACATGTATGTAGATGCTCCTTTCAGAACCTGGCTGCTATCATGACTGAAGTTAGTGCTGCTGCCTAACCAAGAGAAAACAATTTTATTTATTTTAGGTGCATAATTAATGCACCCTTTTCTAATCATGTTTATGGGCTCGTTCCAGACAGGTGGACCAGTTGTACAGAACATATATGGAAATGTCAAAAAATAAGTTTCCTTTTGCTCTTCATATGACTGCCTAGATAGCTTCTGCTTTGAGTACACAGACTCACTGTCTAGAAGTTTGTCTTCTCTTTTCTGGCAATCTCCACTGAAGCTGGCATTTCTCCTCTGTGACATCTGTATCTGTGTGCTGAGGGCACTGCTGGCCCTGGCCACGGCTCATTTCTGGCTAGGCCATTTCTGATAACCAGCAGTAAGATAAAAAAGGATTCACTGGTGTCTTTCTCACTTTCTTTTAACCTTCTACTGTGAAAGTGCTCCTGGCTCCAAAGCTGTTTGTTGGGATGATGTATCTCTGTGGAAACTTCCCTTCTGCCTGTGGCAGTGATGTGGAACCAGCCTGATCTCCCTGCTAGATGAGGAGCGGTGGCTTTTAGGTCCTCCTCTCCTGAGAACTGGGCATGTGAATGAAGAAGGGCAATCCCTCAAGTGCTGACCTTATGGATTGGTTAATTTTTATTTCAGTCTGCATGCCAAATCGATTTGCTCACATTTTGGCCAAATTGGCTCAGTTAATCGCCACCTTCTGATATGGACATTGAAGTGAACTTTCTTTCCCTGCATTTACCCCACGAGAACATGGGCACAGTCACATAAAGCACTGCTGAGGCACGGTATGCAAGAAATATCCCTGCCATACCTCCCAGAAGCTGCTTTGTGGCTGAATTCCTGTGTCCTGTGTGCTCTCTGCCTGCCCAGCAGGTACAGCACTCGGAGCAGCTGGGGACTCACAGCTGTTCCTTGTCCTTAGACTGGCACAGAGACCAGTTTCATATTTAGAACTGAATGTTGCATTGCACATTTCTGTCCAGGATTTGGTGTGAACAGACACAAAGTGAAAGGAAATCTCAGTGAAAATTCAGAGGTGAGGCTCGGAAGTCTCACATCTAGTATGTGCAGCTAAATCATACTTTCCTCTCTTATTTCCTGCACTTTAATCAGGAAAGGTTGGGATGGGCAGGAAGATGTTCAGGATGCCGACCTGCCTATAATGGAAGTGGATAGTAAAAAAAGCATTGTAATCCCATGTGCATCAAGTGCACATCATATAGATCACATAACTCAGGGAACCACAATGACTCTAAGATAAGTAACTGTTCTCTTTCCTTCCTGATCTTTTATCCTCAGAACTGAGAAGCCCCCAAAACCATAGCTCAAATTCTGAGTAAATCATTCATTAATTTGTGGAGGCCAATCCTTGTTCTGCAGATCTGTAAAACTACTTTTTGCTATATTTTTGCACAATTTGACAGAGCTGAGAGTTTTTGCTTGTGAAGACGCTTTCAATAACAAGAGAAGGGGGATCAGAGGTGTAGAATACATGATTACTGGTAAAGCTGAAGATTTTTCATTCCCCACATATTCTGATGTTGGCATAGTCTGTATTCTTCAGTTTGCTTCTTAACTTTCTTCTTGTCAGTCTCTTCTTTTTTCATCCTTAGTTTCCACAGATCGCTTTTGAGAGATAAGAAAACCTTGGTAGCAGAATCAGTGAGACTTAAACACATTTTAAAATTAAGCACATTTTAAACTTAAGTGCTTTGACAAAGAGGTACAATGTGCCAAAATGGGGCCCTAGTAAGAAGCTGGGTTACCATTTGATGGGGAGAGTCGGCAGCCTTGAACATATCTTTTCATTGTTTAAAATAAAAGAACTGAGATGTAAAGCTGCTCATTCAGGTAGCGATGGCCTCCAGCGCTTCGGTGGGCTTTGTAGGCAGAGGAATTCAAAAGAAAACCCCTCAGCCCAGCTTTAAAGTCTTAGGAATGCTTTCACTGTGGGAAGAAAAATTCTTCAAGGTAAGGCCTCTGTTGGAGTAAAGCCTTTGGAGCTACCTACTGTATGTCTACTTAAATCTAAAAGAGAACTCTTCAGACCACCCACATCTTTCTTTGCTTCATTGTTGTTTTCAGTTTGCTTTTTCGGAGGGATTAGTGCTAGAGTAAACTCCATCCTCTTGCTCCCTTGAAAAAAATTCAATTTTGTGTAAAGTGAAAATTAGGCTCTTAAATCTGCAAAGAGAGCTGTTCATCTTACAAATTTATTCTTTTTTATTGGGCCACACATATTCTAGATAGAAAGATAAAAGGCAAATGGATAACAGGCCATCATTTAGAGTGACATATAGCAAAACATAGCTAGTAGACTGATTCTGTAAATTCCTCCTGAGTGCCTTGTTAACTTTATCTATATATTTATCTATAATGCTCATATAGTATTTATTGAGAACCAAAACAAAATCCTTCAGTTTATCATCATGCATTCTGTGTTTTGCACTTCAGAAAAATCTTTTTGCACTTGGGAATTCGTTTTTTTCCCCAAGAAGCTTAAGCCATAATTATATACAACTTTTGAGGAGTAAAAACAGAAAAAATCTAAACTCTTTTGGGATATTGGAATTATAGACTAGTACCTATGTATGTTTTCCTAGACTCACAAAGACAAAATAGACTCCTGTAGTATGCAACTTTACGTTCTTGAAGATAATTCAAAATGACATTTACTAGCTTTCTAACTTAAATATTATGCTTTAACTCTGCAGTCTAAGAACAGTCAGAAAGTGTTAAAACAAGAATGTGATGTGAAAACTACCAGATTTGCATTTTGAAAAGTAGTAATAGCTTGATTACATACATGACTGAGATAAGCCTTTATAATATATATATATACATATATATTGAGATAAGCATTTATAAAATATATATATGCATATACATGTGTTTCTTAATAGCTCTATCTTCTCCTTCTTTCAATTTTAAGCAAAATTGTTTAGAGGAGCCATTTCATAATACATACTGAAATGCCTGTTAGTGTTACCTTTTCCAGAAATGTGGTATTTGGGTCTCTGCTACTGTGAGAATAAATTTTATTGGAGCCAAATATTTAAGTCTTTCTTATGTCCCATTACTTCCATTTAAAAGGCAATGCTGTGTAAACTGCACTATGTTTCCTGACAGCGTTAGTTACATTTCAAATAGGTAAAGACAGAACATTTTTAGTCAGTAGGTTATGGCTGAAATAATCAAGACTCTGCATGCAGGTTTTAACTCTGTGCTCCCCACCTGGATCTAACCCAGATAGCTCAGTTCTGCACAGGGTGTGATGCTGTGTCCATGTGTCCTGCTCCTGACGTGCCAGGAATGTCAATCTGGGTCACAGCTTCAACATTTGCCATGGTTTTTGGTGAAATCATGAATTGGTGCTTATAGTGGTATTGAATTGATGCTTATAGTTATATTACATGACCCTCTATGTGCAAAATGATGGATGAGCCTTGTGTGGTTTGAATAATGACTTTTTTTTTAATACCCTACATTTTTTTTTCAATTTTTATGTCAGTTTTTTGTAAGTTATTTTCTTCCTTGCCTGCTTGCATAAAGGCAGTTAATTCAAGATGGCTGAAATGACTTTATTTAATTCAGAAGAGAGAAGAGGTGTCCTGGAGTCTCACCCATTGTGTTATGATGCAAAGAATAAGTGTGGCTGTGAACTCTGAAGGAGAAAATGCAGTAGCTGTGGGTGAGAGGGAGATGGAACTCCCCCTGATCTGACCAGTTTTTCCATTGTTTTTCACATGATATTAGGCCACACTCTAGGTTGCCTGTTGCAATTCCAGTGCTGAGATGTTGCAGAGGAAGTTGGGTTAGTTTTGTCTGTAGACATTGGCAGTGTCATTGGACCCCCCATCACTGCAATTTTCTTGTTTTAGGAGGTTGTAATACACTGGTGCAAACTTTTTACCTCTAAAAGCCTACAGGTTTTCACAATACTTATAAATTAAATAGATTCAACAAAACAACAATCTCAAACTTTTGGGGGAAAAATTAATAGGAACTAAGCAAAAGAAGAAATCAAACCAGCTGCTGACACAGCTGTTTCTTTTCTTGTATAATTCTGTATATAAAGGTACCATATGCTGCTTAAAATCATGATAGGAAAGATGAAATAATTTAAGACAATAACAAGAAAATACATGAATTGTCAGCATTCTGTCAGATTTAAAGAATGAAATAGACAGGTGTAGTATTGACATGTTTAACTTTGTGTTGTGTTAGCAGTTTTAGTGAGAACAACTCCTGACACGTGCTGAAGTGATGTGAGAACATTTCTGTGTTGCAGACATTGGAGAAGAAGCTGGGAGATCTGTAGGAGTCCAGCAGCCAGCTTTACTGAGAGACAGGAGCCTTGGTTCTGCCATGAAAGACTGCCCATATTGTGGAAAAACTTTCAGAACATCCCACCACTTAAAGGTCCACTTGAGAATACACACAGGTGAGAGGAACATGTGAGCGGAGCGCTGGCGGCACGAGCCACGTGTGTGTGGGGGTTGACATCAATTGTGCCTAGGAGCCTGAATTCCCACTGTAGATTTGGACTTATTAGTTGGAGAAAGTCTTTTGAGAAAGATGTCTGACAGTCTTAAATAAAAGCACAAGGAATGTGTTGTTGGATAAAGACCACTTTAATAGAATCATCTTTTCCCAGTTGAGGTTATTTCTGTCTCCTTCCCTGCTTCATCACTGTTTCCTTCAATTACCCTTGTCCTTCAATAGGCATAAGCCTATTGGTTTCAGACTTAGTTATACTAACTGCTTCAAAGGCCTTCCTTAGCATCTGCTTAGGGATTCTGTATGTTTTTCTCAGTTACTATTTTTGTTCCTTTTAGCATGCTCATTTTTAACCTCTCACTGTTCATATGAATGCATCAGCTTCACGGATCTGCTTTTTTTTCTCCCCACTAGAGCTCACACGACTTACTACTTGTAAGTAATAAAACTTATCATGCTTTGCACTGTGGTAAAATTTCCCATATTTTATTTCAATAACAATCACAGCATTTTACCCTACAGAGATTTGCTACTGGGCTGGATACTCACTTTGTTTTGGTATTTCTCTCACTGGGAGGACTGCTCTCATACTAGTTTTTTCTAGCCATTCCATTTAAATTTTTATATTTCATTTGCTTGAAAGTACATATGTGCATGGCAAGCTCCGTGTAGAGACACAGTATGTGTTTGAGAAGACTTTATCCATAGTTAAATTCTGACACAAAATGTTGGAATCCTCAGGTCCTGTTGAAATCATTTGAAATTCTGTATATGGTCAATAGGATCCTGTTTTCTTCCCAGAGTTTATTGTCATGGTAGGCTTTGGGAAAGTATTTAAAACTTGAGATTTGGGATACTTCTTTTTGGACACAGACATAATAGGCCCCGTAATTATAATTTTCTTTTTAAACTATTTTAATTGAATTTCAGAATTTTACTGCTACTTTCCTAATAGAAAGGTAAATAATTGCATGAAAAAATACATTCCAGTTATACCTCCTACTTGAAAAACTTCACTTTTAACTTTTATTTCACTGAAGTACCAGATAAACAAAGTTTCCCTCCCTTCCCAGCATCAGCAGTCATGTTCCTCCTATGTGCATGCACAGGTCTAATGCTTAATGTTGGGTTTGTGAATGTGAAGCCTGATTTTGAAAAATAGAAAATTAAAATTACTTAAAGGAAAAAATATCATTGTTGAAATGGGAAAATTTTTTCACTGTATTTTTGCTCTTTTTTTTCTTTTACATTTTGGAGTAGGAGAATACCACACTGAAATTTAAAATTTGGCACCCTAATGTAGTTTTGTCTGACTGAATTGCAAAGCGTTTAGGGCAAGAATATTCTTCTCTGTGTGTTGGATTTTGTGGGGGGAGGGAGGGGGAAAAAGAAACCTGGTGAAAACCCTATTTGTGTGCTCTCCAGTGTAGTAAAAGTAAAGAAATGGTAGTTATTTCATTGCAAAATAATCTCATAACTATGGAGGTTAAAGAGTTTGACATTTTTAGCATTTGAGAGGCAAAAAAAAAATTCTTCAAAATAACATGAGGTTACCCACCTCTTCATTTTGTTTTATTATATAGTGAGCACTTTGTTCTTAAGTTAAACATGGCAGTGATTATGCATTTGGTATTTGTGCCTTAGAACTAATGGAAAGTAAATTAATTACAATGGAAATATTCCATAAAAATTGCATATTAATACTGACTAAAGAAAATTAAAACAAGAAAAAAAAAATAAACTGTATAATATAACAAAAAAAATTTAAAAAAAGAAACTATGGAAACAACATTTACAATGTATTTAAAAATCATTATAATTTTAAAATAGGTAAAGATCAATTTCCATTAGGTTGAGAACAAAGTATTTGTAAATAATGACAAGAGTATGTTTAAGTGAAGCAATGTTTTACATATTGGAAATAATCCTAATATATAATATAAAAATGTAAATTGGCAAATTACTAGAGTTATTAAATAAAAATTAAGTTGCTTTGTGGTAAGTGGAAATGATGTAATAGATACCAGTTATTAAACAAATATTGGTTAGCTCATACTTCTCAGGGATAGTTTCCTGCCTTTTATGTCACACTCTGTCTTTATTATATGCCTGGATCATATAACTGACTGATAAAAAACACTTTACAGTATTTCTCCACTACATTAACTCAATTACTGTTCTTGTTCTCACAGCACCTGTTTGTTAGAGATGAGCTCAAGCAGTTGAGCAGAAGTCAGGTTCCTTCGAACATCTGTGTGTTTGGAGGCACACGACTGGCTTGGTTTGGTACTCATGCCAAGAGCAGACCCAAAGCCTGATCCAGCCAGGAGGTGCTTCTGTGGCAATTGGCCCAAAAAAGCTGGAGAAGCAGCTTAATCTTGCACAAGAGGAGGAAGCTGTGCTCTGTTTTGGAAGAATTAGACAGTGGTTTGGGTTGCTTCTTTTTCTGTTGGATATTTCATGGTTGCAACCCCCTCCACACTGAGCCCTGGTTTCTGTGTAGTTTGCTATCACATAATTACCCTGTGAAGATATTAAAAAAAAATAAATAAAAAAAATCAAAGTTTTATTTAGCACACTCAGTTTTGTCCCAGCACAATTGTAGAGGATTTTTGTTATCCAGCTCAGGGATATTCAGGCAGGAAGAGCTTTAAGGGGAAGATACTAAGATATGATTTCTGATTGTTCCCATGTGATAAATGGCATAATTATATGAAATCAGTTTCTCCTCTTTCTTGCTCTCAAAACAATTGATGGATGAGAGAATTCCCTGGGACAGCCCTGAATGGAGAGAGGAAGGATTTTCAGGCCAAAATGCTTGCTAGCCTTGGGTATTAGAGAGGACAGGCAGAACCCTTCACGCCCTCTTAGATGAGTTCTTGATGCTGACCAGTGGCTGGAGATGGGCTGTGCTGCCCTCCAGCTCACACAAACTCTGGGGAGGATGGACAGGGGCAGAGCCCTGCATGGCAGGCAGCTGGGGGCCCTCCCCATTTGGGGGTCAGCCTTCTTGCTATAAAATCATACTCACACAGCTGAGAAGGTTCTAACACAAGCTTGGAGATGCTCTGTTTTTGTGACAAGGGAAACTGAGTATCTCAGACCATGTTGTGCCATATGCAGGTGCTTCCAGAGTTCTCATTTTGCCCACTGGAGGCAGCAACTTAAAGTCCCTTCTCCCATTCAGGGAGCCAAGCAGCTCCTTTATGTTCCTGAGCACTTTCAACCCCCTTGAAACTCAGTAAGTGATGTGGGTTTTACATTGCATGCCTTGACCTTTGGACTTGCAGAAACAGTATGTAAGAAATGAAAATTTCTTATGTCCTGCTTTTGACAGGGGACACAGTATGTAGGAGCTGGTTTCAGGTTGGCTCTAGCACCTCTTTGCACTTTGCTTTAGCCCTCAGAAGCTATTGCAGATATAGACCAGCTTGGATTTGAGTATTAGATGCTCAGGTAACATTCCCAGTATGACAGACAAAATTAAATCCTTTGAGTGCAGAAAAAAGGATAATGTGCACAAGCAAAGGAAAGATGGTTTGGATTGTGCTAAACAGAAGGAACCTAAGAAAGAGATGAATAGGAAGAAAAAACTTGTCAGGGCTGTGTCCATTGACTGAGAGTCTGTTACGATATGTATGACACACATCTAGCATATATTAGATGTATTATATGCATTTACAGTGTTACTGCATTTTCCCTTGGAAATGTGACTAGCCAATTTTAAACCATGCTTAGATGAACTGATGAAATACAGTAAAAATGGTGCTGTTTTAAATGAATTCAATTCACATTTCCTTCCTAAAAAAAGACTGCCTGTTGCCATTCTCTGAAGGCGCTTGTAGTGGGATGAGCAATATGAATAATTAAGGAAAATGGGTATGTGTGCTCCAAGAGGAGACAATTTTGGTATTGAACATCCTTTATTCTTACATTTCTAAGATGAACTAAAAGGACTTTTCATTTCTCTAGATTCCTCCAGATTTCCCATCCTTAACATTGTACAGAATGCCTTTTCTCCTGTCTTAATGACATCCCAAACTTTTGTTGAAAATAATTGATTGAATTTAAATTTCCTTAAAAGTTTAAGAGGTAATGTTACAGTATAAATTTCCTACCAAACACTAAGTAGGGAAATATCCATTAGTGAAATTAACTACAGTTTCTAGGTAGCTAACAATGTGCAGTATACAGTAGGGCATGGCTAATGAACACTGCAGTGGGTGATATTTCATTATACAAATTAATGCTCACATTTTAATGGGAAAGTCACATAATGAATCTCAGCTTCAGTGACAGCAATTAGAGACACAGATTGTCCCCTTCTGGACAAGGCACTGTTTAGCAATAAGCAGCTGTGTAAAAAGTCTTCAGGTTTACAACATATATATATATGCTTTGGGGGAGTTGTGTACAGTTTATATTAATGTACTGAATCTTCCCTGCAAAGTAACAACCGTATTTATCTCTCTGCATTTTAACTAAGTAAAGACATGTAAAAAGGCTAAATAAATATTGCAGATGAGCTATAAATAAAGGAAAATATTCAATTATAAAAGTTTATAAAAATTAAAATATTTCATAGCGATGGCAAGTGCACAAATGAAAAATATTTAATAAAATCAGTAAAACCATCAAAATTCTGTCCCGTTACAGGTAGTTTCATCTTATATAATAGAGAAAAAAGACTAGTAAAGGAAAGTAGTAAAGACAAAAAGTTAACTAGTATTTCTGACAAACAGATTAATTGTGTGGTGAAACATGTGCAGGATCCAAAAATAATCCTACAGAACCTTTGATATTCCATTTGGTTTAAAAAGTGCGAAGTGAATGATTAGAATGATAAAAGAAATTACCGTGTAAGAATAGGCATAATAATGAACTAATTAAACCATACAGCAATTCATTTCTAAAATATCTACTGCACAATGGATAAAATAGGTT